ACGCAAGTTGCATGCCTGTGCAGCCAGCGCCACGGCCAGTAGGATTCCAGCCCCTGTAGTAGCGGCTAAGCCCCCCTGGGTGGCCTCTGTCCCTGTGCTGTGAGCCACAGGGGACAGGAGTCTGGTGCTGGGAGCCAGTGAGGGGACCCCGGAGGACAGCATCCTGCTTTAAAAGGAAAGGTGGGCCCTTCTATGTTGCTGGCAGGAATGTAAAGTGGTGCAGCTGTGGTGGAAAACAGTATGGTGGTCCTCAAAAAAATTAAACTTAGAATTTCCATATGATCTAGCAATTCCACTCTTGGATAGATACCAAGAAGAACTGAAAGCAGGAACCCAAACAGATATTTGTACACCCATGCTCACAGCAGCGTTAGTCACAACAACCGCAAGGTGGAAACAACCCAAGTGTCCATCAACAGATGAATGAATAAACGAAATGTGGTATGCGCGTCCCATGGAAGGCCAGGCAGCAGAGAAAGGGAATGACATTCTGATCCATGCTACCGCATGGACGGACCTACACTAAGTGCAATAAACCAGACTCGAAAGGACCAATGTTACACGATTCCGTTTGCATGAGGTCCCTGGGGCAGTCAGAAATAGAGACAGAAAGTAGAAGGGTGGTCTCCAAGGGCTGGGGGGAGGGAGTGGGGAGTCACTCTTTAATGGGGACAGAGTTTCAGTTTGGGAAGATGAAAAATTTCTGGAAATGGATGGTGGTGATGGTTTCACAATGTTGTGAATGTACTTAATGCCGCTGAACTGTACACTTAAAAATAACTAAGATGGTAAAATTTATGTTATTTTGCTACAGTTTTAAAAAAAGGCAGGCAGCTCTGCCCATGAGAAGATGAGACGGTTGTGGGGGCTTGTGAGAGGTGCCAGAGGCCTGAGGACTCGCTGCTCCCCCTCTTGGAGTTCAGGACCACAGTCTGTGGTCCAGCTCCCATGGCCCTCTCTGGGGTTGAAGGTCAGCTCAGAGTCAGGCCCCGGCTTCCAAAGGCCCTGAGAGGCCACTGGATTCATGGAAGCTCCTAGAAATCCTCCAAGCCAAAGCCACCGCTGTGCCTGCCTGCATGTGGCCTGAAAGGACAGCTGCTTCACTGGACCCACCCCACGTCCCGATGACGGAAGCCGATGTCGGCACCTGGGGCTCTCGGCCACCTAGGGCCATGGGCACGAGACGGTTTCCAACATCGGGGCAAAGTCTCTGTGCAACGACTGAGCTGCACTCTCACGTGTTACATCAGCAGTAGGGAGACAGCCCAGCGGGACGAGGGGCTGAATTTCCTCCGCATCTTCTAGAAGTGTCCGTGTGTGCTGGCGACAGAGCTCGGCTGTCCTTCCGCCTGCACCTGCGTCCTTTGCCCTGGGCATCCTGGCCTGTTCTCGTGAGCAAACCAGGCCCGCACCGTGGCCCCAAGGTGACGGTCTGTGGCATCTGCCTACCCTGGATTCGGATGTGGGCTCTCTTGAACTCCCTGGGCTCTTGTTTCCCCCTCCGTGATATGGGAACAATAAAAGCCCCCGAATCATCGATGGGCGAGGATTCCCGAAAGCTTGTGGCAGGTGCCGGACTCAACAAGCGGTGGCCTCGATGGTTATTATCTTCCCCTCGCAGCAAAAGCAAAGTGCCGCACCGCGCCCGGCCTTGGCTCATGGCAGGGAGGACTCTGTCGTCATTAAACAAAGCCCAGCAGGCGCAAGGAGGCAGGGTGGCGAGGGGCGGGAGGATCATTTGAGCCCAAGAGTTTGAGGTTACAGCAGAACGCACAGAACACGCGACAGTTCACGGAGAGGAACGCAGAGAGAGCGCAGGCTTCCGGGAACCTTGAGTGGCAATGCCGGGGAGCAGGTGGCTTCTCATTTGGGAGAGATGCCAGCCCCCAAATTTGGGGGTAGAAATGGCTCTAGCCTGCTGGGCCTGTCCGAGGGGGACACACTGTGGATGCCCGTTGCTTCCAGGGCTGAGCAACAGCCAGGGGCAGAGCAGCTGTGCAGGGCTGGGACGCAGCAGGACTTGGCCCCGTGGAGTCACCTGGAGACTGAGCTTCACCCCCTGGGCCTGTGGGGAGCTGCGTTTTCCCTGCCAGCCTGGTCCTCAGCACCAGCCCTTGCTCCCCTGCCGGCGTCTGTGTCTTGTCCCCCGGCTGGTGTGGGTGTGAGGATGTCAGCCCAGGGAGATGCAGATAAACTAGTCTCCTTGCATCTGCGGTTCTCAAAGTGTGGTCTCCCAAAGAGGAGCCTCAGCATCGCCTGGGAACCTAACTTGCAGGATCTCAACCCCACCCCGGACCTCTGAACCAGAAACTCCGGGGTCCAGTGATTTGCATTTTAACGAGTCCACAGGGCAATCCCGACGCAGCAGGCAGGCAGGGGCCGTGCCTGTTTTGTTCGCTACTAAACCCCAGCCTGTAGCACGCACCTGGCACCCGGCAGCTGCCCAGTAAATACTGGGAGGGTGAATGAATGGGGATAAGCATTACGGTTCCAAAGCCCCAAACGGAAGAGCACGAACATTTACGGTGCCCCAGGCCCCATGCAGCCACCGCACCCACCTTCTTGTGTCGTCTAAACAACGTCTGAGGCAGGTGCCTCCTGGGAGTTCTACAGGAGAAATAACTGATAGCTGGCGTTGACATGCAGGTCACAGTGGTAGCAGCTCCTCACGTGCTTTCATGTTTGAAATTTTCACAGTCACCCTGGGAAGGAAGCATATCCCCATTTTACAGATGGGAAAATGGAGGCACAGAGAGAAGTACCCAAAACTTCATGTACTAAGTAGTGGAGCTGGGACTGGAAACCAGTGTCCAGAATTCATGAGCTTTCCACCTGCTGCCCCTCTTAGGGATTATCTGGTGTTTGGGACAAATCGGGGCCCTTCTAGACTCCCTGAGTTTCACAGATGTCACTGAACACCCTCTACCCTCCACCATGGAAGACTTCAGGTTTTTTTTGTTTTTTTTTGAGATAGAGTCTCTCTCCATCCTCCAGGCTAGAGTACAGTGGCCCCATCTTAGCTCACTGCAACCTCAAACTCCTGGGCTCAAATGATCCTCCTGCCTCAGCCTCCCGAGTGGCTGGGACTACAGGAACAAGCCACCACATCTAGCTAATTTCTTTCTATTTTTAGTAGAGACAGGGGTCTCACTCTTGCTCAGGCTGGTCTTGAATTCCTGACCTCAAGCGATCCTCCTGTCTTGGGCTCCCAGAGTGCTAGGATTACAGGTGTGAGCCACCACGCCTGACCTAGGGTCAGTTTTAAAAGTTAATTTGTAAGTGGGTTGCTTGGGACTTCGAAGGCATTTTTGCAAAGAAAGGATTTCTTGGTTTCCAGGCTAGTCCACGAAGGACCCTTCACTCCCAAGGCAGCTCCCAGGACCCTGGGTGGGGTGGGGATCTGCTTTCCATCTCAGCCCTAAAACTGAGACTCCCAGGACTACCTTATGATGAATGCCTCTCTAGGAATTGCATTTGGAATTCACCTTGGGGCTGCAGGGAGTGAGTCCCCCTCACTGTGCCTGGCACTTGGCAGGCTCTTTATGGACATTCCCTGCTTTCAGTCCTAGGAAATGTTCTTGTATCGTTTCTTCAACAATTTCTTCTCCTCTGTTTTCTGTTTCTTGGTTTGAAATTCCTACCAGTTGGAAGTTGGACCTTCTGTATTGATCTTAACTTTTTGTTGCCTAATGTTCTTGACTTTTTTTTTTTTTTTGCATTTATGGGTTTTATTTTCTGGGGAATTTTCTCTTATCTCATCTTCCATCCCTTCTCATGCATTTTTAAATTTCTGCTACTGTATTTTTACTTCTTAAGAACTTTAACACTGCCTTTGAAAAAAATAACATTCTTTTCTTGTTTCTGGGTATAATATCTTCAGAGGATTTTCCTCTGACTCCTTTCTCTCTGTTTTGGAGTTTCTGCGTTTTCAGTTATTGGATTTTGTCACACGTTGGGTGCCCTTGGCTGTTCTCATTGTGAGTGAAACACAACAAAGCTAATGGGCAGCTTTGTGCCTGTAGCAGGGCTGGGGGCCCCACAGGGTGGCTGGGCAGAGACCCCCCTGTTTGGGGAACTGCAGTGTCAGGATGTGTTGATCTGTCCTCTTTAATCAGTTTCCCTGGGAGAAATTCCATAATGCCCTGCCTTGGGGGTGGGCAGATGGCAAATAGGCCTGGGAAGGGGGCTGGGAGACTTCCCATTACCCATCCCTGATTTCAGAAAGGGACCTCACCCCAGAGTTTCCCTAGTCTTGGGGTCCCCAATCCAGAATCTTTCTAGTTCAACCTTGGCCAGCAGTAACCCTGTCTTCTGCCCTGGTCAGGGAACGGGGGTCACTAGTTCCTGAGGACTGGGAGTGGGGGCCTGGGGGTCTAACCTCCCCATCCAACCAATGCTATTTCAAACCCATCCTGAACTTTCACCTTAGGGACACCTGGCCCCACCAAGCTCTGAGCTTCTGGGGGATTCTGAAGAGCCAAGGGCTTGTTCATGGTCAGCTTCCTCTCTTATAGATATTCTGGGGAGGGACGCTGACTCTAAGCAAATGATACCGTTCCATCTTCCAAAGCTTTTCAGATCTCTCTCATTCACTGCCACCTTTGCTCCTGTTCCTTTTGCCTCTGTGGTTTATACCTTTCTCATTCCTTTATGTCATTTTAGTAGAGTTTTGGGGGACAGAGGAAAATGTGAATGTGTTCAGTCCACCATAGGTAACCAGAAGTCCCTGTCCATTTTAAAAACATTTTTACATGTGTTCATGTGAGTTTGTACAACTCATTTGTATTAAAAACATTTTCTTTTTTAACACAGACGGCCTTGTTTTTTCCATGCAACATTGGTTTGTGAGCTCTGTTCACACACACAGATCTAGCTCGTTCCTTTGCGGCTTAGGAAGTGTTCCAGCAATTCAATGTACCACGTTTTTTTTTTTCATCCATTGCTCTATTGCTGCAGCTCAGAAACACAGGCGATTGTGGTCTTTTGATTAACACACTGGCTCAATGCAAATTCTAATCTTTATTGTTTTAATTCTGAAGCGGAACGTGTCCCAGGGAAACAGTGAGCTCCTTTACCATCTGCCAGCGGCAAGGGCAGGCTCCCGGGTGGGGCCCTGCGAGCTCCTGGCTCAGAGCAGGTGGCCCTTCCAGAACAGGGTGCCCGGGAGGGTGCGAGAGGGGCAGGAAGGAGGGGAGGATGTGGACAGGCAGACCACACACACACACACACACACACACACACACACACACACACACACACACACGTGCGCTCTCTCTCCAGGGAAGGGTTTTCCAGAAGCATTTGCCTGCACTCCAAATTAAGTATTTGTCATGCCAAACCAAACCTACTGAAGAGAAGTGAATTGATGGCTGGGGGAGCCCTGGGCCTGGCTGGGGACTCAGCCCAAGGCTGCTCTTCTTCAGTGAGCCACATCCACAGCATTCACTAGAACCCTCCCGGCCCCTCGAGCTGCAAGGGAGGGATTCAAAGAAATCTAACAAGGGGCCAGGGTTCGCTCTCAGCGCCTGAGCCCGGGAGAGGGACAGAAAGGAGGAGGGTGGGTGGGTCTCTCACTCCACCTGCTCTGCTCCCTCCATTCGGGCTGTGAGGGGCCAGACTCGGCCTTGACCTTGACGGTACTGCTCTGGGATGTGTTTCTTCTCGCTTAATACAAATACAAAGAAAGGCCTGCCTGGCAGCCCCTCTGAAATTGCAGTGCAGGAGGGAAGGCCCCACATCCAGCCAACCCAGGACACAAGCAAGCTTGGGAGAACCCCAGGGCAGGCTGGGGTGGGGGGAGGGCAATAAATAAGGCGGGGCCGAGTGCGTGGTTGGAGGGGTGGCAGTGGGCGGCAGCTGTGTGAGAGCAAGGCACACAAAGGCACTGGGCGGGGCAGGCTCGGCCCCAACACTGGTTAGTGGAGTCCCAGCCAGCAGGGAGGCTGGCCAGGGCGCAGGACCGCTCAGGGTCTGGCTCCAGCTTTCGTGAAAGCTTCCACTGAAAAGTCTGTTCCAGGCACCGAACACGGCTCAGCGCAGGGCGGGGTGGGGGCCTGCTGGAGCCACGTCAGCAGCGGGGGCTCGTCCGGGTGTGTCTTCTGCCTTTGGAGGAGAGAAAAAAAGGCCACCGCACAGTGAGCAGTGGTGACAGCTTGACCTCTGGGAACAAAATGGAGGTGACGGGAGTGGGGAAGGCAGGCCCCTTGCTGGGACAGCCCCCACGCCCGAGGCTGTACTGCACTGTGGAACCCCTCTGGGGTTCCGTCTGCTCGTCCTAACAGAGTGATCACCATGGTGACCTCAGGATGGGGGAGGGAGCAAATGGCCGTGGGAATGGAAGATCCTCCTCTGGGCCAGGCCTCTCCAAGTTGTTTCTCAAGCCCTGGAACCCTCTCTATGCACTGGGCCCCAGGGCCCCCCGCTTATTACTGGACATTTCCTGGGGACCCACTCGGGGAAGGAGGTCCCTGTGATGCTGAGTGTCACCTCAATGCAACCCCGAGAGGGACACGTTAGCGATAAAGGAACTGGCTGCAGAGAGATCAAATATTAGGTTGAACCGTAGCAAATTGCTGCTATTTGACTATGTCTGACCTACAAAAATGCAGTTTCTTATGGTTCAAGCTTACGGTCCGTCTGAGGTCACGTGGCTATGTGTGGCAGGGCTGTAACTAGAATTTGGGGCTGCAGACGCCTCCCACTCTCTGGAGACCTGCCCACTGCTGCTTCCCGCCCGGATGCCCTGCGGCTTCTGGGGAACCACCACGTGGGAGAGCGGGGAGGGATTGGGTAAGGGGTTCCCATGGGTGGTGGCCGGGGTGCCCTCCACACCCTGGAGTCTGATGCACACATGCACCCGTGGATCCTCCAGCCAGGGAGGGGCCCAGTCCGCCTGGGGCTCCTTTCTTGAAGGAGACGGGGGCTGGCCCTGCACTTGCAGTTTTCTCTGGCTTGAGTGCGAGGAGACCCTCCCTGTCCCCCAGTCACATGATGGTCCCGGGCTGGGCACGGCTGGGGACAGTGGGTATGGGGCAGGGTGGGAGCCTTGGACGCTTCCCCTTACCCAGTCTGTGCCTTGGTTTCCACACCCACCCAGTGCAGGGAGGAAACCTCCTGGCTACTCTGTCCATGCCATGGAAGCCGACCTTGGTGGTGCTAGGGAGGGCTGGAACCCCACGCCCCACGCCGGAAGCCCCCTCCTGGGATGTGGGCAAGCTCCGGGCTGGGCTCTGTTTTGGGTGGGTTGATTTGGCTTCCTCAGTGACGTGGCAGGTTTCTAGGGGGGCAAGGACCCCCCCCCCAGGCTGGGTACACGACGGGCTGAGTGCGGACTGGACCGCCTGGCACATGGCAGGAGCCCTTGAAGCGGGAGTCACCTTGCCCAGGACAGAGATGGGAAATGCTGCGACAAATCACACGTTTTACAAAGTGGACGATGGCAATGACCGTCGCTGCGATTCCCAAGAGTGGCTGGGGTGGTTACCGATATTATTATGGGTCGCGCCTCTGTTCATCGCGGACCGGGATGGGGTCTGGCTCACCTCTGTCCCCCAGTGCCTGGCACGGCACTCAGTAAACATGGAGAACTGACAATGTCGCCTGCCACGCTCCAGTCTTGGAGGGGTGAGAGGAGGAGAGGGCCATGGGGGCAAGGGAGAAGCCAGGTACTCACCGGGGCCCTTGGGGTCGGCTCGGGGCGGGGTGCCCCCCTGTGGGTCTGTGGAGCCCGTCCCAGTCTCGCTGGCCAGGCTGCTCTGGCTCCCCGAGAGGTGGCTGGGCGGGCGGATGAGCCCCATCCTTGCGACCTCCACACTGCTGCCTGCGACAGACCACAGCGGCTCTCAGGCTGAGACGGGCATGGTCTCGGCCCCACAAGAACCTGATCCAAGATCTTCTCGTTTGGAATTACAGTGGCATCTCTGGGACTATCTGCCCAGCAAGCCCCCTGCCCTGGGAACTGTCCCCTCATCCATGTGGCTGCCAAGGGCCCGGCATGACCCCACCCTCTGGCCACTGCTGACAGGGTCCGAATTACACCAAGGCAGCAGAACAGGCCTGGAGGTACTTTCACTAAGTAACAAGTCACCAAGACGGAACTCCCCCATTATTAGGGGTTCCTTCATAGGATGGGGGAGGGGGAAGGGTGTATATTCCAGGTAACCTAACGAGAGAGCTATCACTGCTGCCTTTGCCTTTGCTAAGTAAAGAATCCTCACCCAAACATGGTTTTCAGTCCTTGCCTGGCCAAGAGAACAGATGTGCAGCCTGTCGTACTTTGCCCAGTCTTTTCCTAGCGCCTAGTCCTACCTGGTCACAGCTGAGAGTGGGTGTGAAGGGAGGGGACAGGTGCCATCACGGTGGGGAGAGGGACGGGACAGCTTGCCCTGGAAACCAAGCCTGGCAGGTAAGTTTCCTTCACACTTTTCTAATGTAGAATCTAGAATCTTCAGCCTGAAAGGGGCCTGGGAGGTCCTCCAGACCAGGGACAGTTTTCATCTCTTGCGTCACCTCTACCTACTGATGCTGACCACTTGGAAACTGCACTGTGGAGGGTTCTGAGGGCCAGTGAAGGCTCCGTGGGGAAGAGCGTCTAGATCAACTAGTAATGTCTGCCATGGTCACGGGATAGGGAGTCCTGGTACGTGTGCCGGGCATTCGCTGGCTCTGATCTGGCCCAGACTTCCATTCCCAACCCAGTCTTGGCCCCAGGACAGCACCCCAAGGCATTTCATTCTAGTTTGGAGCAGTTATTGTAAAGTTCTTCTTACACACTAAAAGCAGCCTCCTTGAAGCTTTCAAATATCCCAGTTCTAACCCGCGGAGCAGCTCTGCATGAAGCCGGCCCTTTTCTCCATAAGCCCTTCATGTGTTGGAAGGAGAGAAAAATGCCTTTCCCCAGGCCTTCTCTGCTCCAGCCTCAATGCCCCCAGTTAACCCTCTTTCAAACGACAGGGTCACAGAGGTGAGCTCAGCGATGTCAAAATCAAAAGGCAGTGTGGAGCCCACCTGCTCCGCCTTGCTTGGTAACAAGAAGGAAATGCAGGCTGGCAGGTCATGGCATGCCCTGGGGCTCCCGCTGCAGTTTCTCGGCAGAGCTGAGCTAGGGCAGGGAACTCTGTCCCCAGTTTTCACAGCTCTCACCACCATCAAGGAGGCAAAATCTCAGCTGGGGAATGCTCAGGGGTGAGCCTGGGAGGAAGCCCAGGTGTGCCTGCCTGCCCTCCTTCCCCCCTCACGTGCAGAAGAGCCTCCTGCTGAGCCCTGCTCTTCGATAGTGCTAAGGCTTTATTTTTATTTATGATTTTATTTTATTTTATTTTTTTGAGACACAGTCTCACTCTCTTGCCTGGACTTGAGTTCCGTGGCGTCAGCCTAGCTCACAGCAACCTCAAACTCCTGGGCTCAAAGTGATCCTCCTGCTTCAGCCTCCCGGGTAGGTGGGACTACAGGCACGTGCCACTGTGCCCAGCTAATTTTTTCTATTTTTAGTTGTTTGGCTAATTTCTTTCTATTTATAGTAGAGAGGGGGTCTTGCTCTTGCTCAGGCTGGTCTCGAACTCCTTAGCTCAAGCAATCCTCCCGCCTCGGCCTCACAGAGTGCTAGGATTACAGGTGTGAGCCACCCGCGCCTGGCCTACTTTTATTAATGTATTTCTTTTTGAGACAGAGTCTCACTCTGTTGCCCAGGCTAGAGTGCTGTGGCATCAACCTAGCTCACAGCAACCTCAAAGTCCTGGGCTCAAGCAATCCTCCTGCCTCAGCCTCCTAAGTAGCTGGGACTGCAGGCATGCACCACCATGCCCAGCTAATTTTTCTATTTCAGTAGAGACAGGGTCTTGCTCTTGCTCAGGCTGGTCTCGAACTCCTGAGCTCAAGTGATCCTCCTGCCTTGGCCTCCTGGAGGGCTAGAATTACAGGTGTGAGCCATCATGTCTGGTGCTAAGGCTTTAGCTCGGAGTTGTCCCAACCCCAGGCCGGCTTCTCCTCCCTGATCTAGGCCAGCTCCTTGGACACCTGTTGGGCAGCAAAGCCACTTGGCACCTGGGCCTTTGTAAGGAAGCAGTGTCACTTCCCTCACTTACCTGACTCCCCCGAGGGTCTGTCACCTTTCTGGTCCCTGACGCCAGTGGGAGGGAGTCTGTCCTCCAGGCTGCAGGAGCTGAGATCCGAGTCGCTGTCACTGTCACTGGAAACCACTGGAAAAGACAGACACACCAGCACAGGAGGTCACCGCTTCTGGCCACTACTAGCAGGCACCTTGGACAGAGGGGGCCAGGGCAGGCCTCCCCACTTTGTCACCCTGCCGTGACAAAGTGGTACAGAAGCTCAGCTGGCTAGCCCTTTTGTTTTGGGCATGAGAAACAACGGCCCGGGGACAGAAGGACACTCTTTCTGCCAGAGACGTGAGTCCCAGTGGAAGAAGGCTGGGACTTGGGCCCAGCGTGACCAGCACCAGCAGGGAGAGGTCACCCTATGGCCAGTCATCTCCACACATCACCCCCTCCCTGTGGTGGAAGCTGTCACCTTTGGTGCAGGCACAACAGCTCTGGGGACTCCACCCAGCAGCACAAAAGGCAGAGGCAACGCTCCGCAGTAACGAGAATTACAGTAGTAGCTGACCCTTAGGGAGCCTTCCAGGCCTTCACATATATAAATTTTATTTATTATTATTTTTTGGCAACAGGGTCTTTCTCTGTTGCCCAGGCTGGAGTGCGGTGGTGCTATAATAATTCACTGTAGCCTTGAACTCCTGGGCTCAAGTGATCCTCCTGCCTCAGCCTCCTAAGTAGCTGGGACTATAGGTGTGCACCACCATGCACAGCTATTAAAAAAAATTTTATTTTTTTAGAGATGGGCTCTCTCTCTGTTGCCCAGGTTGGTCTTGAACTCCTGACCTCAAGTGATCCTCCCACCTCAGCCTCCAAGTAGCTGGGACTACAGGCGTGAGCCACTGTGCCTGGCATATACACGAATTTATTAAAGCTTCAGAACAACACTGAAAGATAGGAAATATCATTCCCCCCATTTCCCAGGTGAGCAAACCAAGGCACCTGCCCCGGCAGTAAGTGGAGGAGCTGGGATTCTAACCCTGGCAGGCTGGCTTGTAACTCGCTGATTCCACTGGAAGAACTGAACTGGGAGCCAGCAGGCCTGGGCTCTCATCCCAGTTCATCCAGTAACTCACAGCGGGGTCTTGTGACTGCAGAAGGGAACCAGACGGCCACGGCTGGAATCCCAGCGAGGGGAGAGGGAGGACACTTTCAACAGTGAACACCCGCTGCAGTAGAAACTCTCTTTTCTGGACTAAATGGGACCGCATTTGGCTGCTTAATCAACAGTGGGAGTCATAATACAGGATACACTCATCCTTTAAACACTTTATTTTAATTTTAAACATAGAAATTGTACATCTATTTGCCAATCTTTTGATGTCGGGCTTGGGTGCTGCTTTGAGATTGGTCTTTCATGTATATAACGTGGTCTTTCATGTATATAAACGACATCACATCCATGTTGTGTCATCTGTGGCTCCCGTTTCAGTTTATTTGAATTGTAGCAGGAGCTTAAAGGCCCTGGCAGCCCAGGTGCAATGGCTCACACCTGTAATCTTAGCAATTTGCAAGGCCGAGGCAGGAGGATCACTTGAGGCCAAGAGTTTGAGACCAACTGGGCAACATAGCAAGACCCCGTCTCTCAAAAAAAAAAAATTAGCCAGGTGTGGTGGCATGCACCTGTTGTCCCAGCTACTCGGGAGGTTGAGGCAGGAGGGTTGCTCAAGCCCTGGAGTTTGAGGTTGCTGTGAGCTAGGCTGACGCCACTGTGTTCTAGCCCAGGCGACAGAGCAAGACTCTGTCCACGCCACCTCCATCAAAAAAACCACACAAAAAAGCAGAGACTGGCAAAGCAATATGATGCAGAATCCTTCTATCTTTTTACATTTCTTCCCTGTTTTTCAGTGTCCTGCTCACCCAACAGAATTTTTTAAGTAACCAGTTCTTCCAGGGGACTGACCCAGCGGATGGGGCAGGAATCTGAGGCACCTGTCAATGTGTTTCACATGGGGAATGAAGAGTGCTGGCTGTGGACGAAGGTTGAGCCCTTTACGCCAGGTACATGCAAGGCACCAAACCAGCATTATCTTCCTCGATCCTCCCAACAACCCTGAGCCATAGGTACCCATCTGGCAGGAGACCAGATCAGAAATGAAGCCCATCTGTACCAAGGGCGGTTAGTTAATAGGTTCCACTGGTCCACCGAGCCCCTTGTGGAGCAGCACACAGAGAATCCTGAGGCCGCATTAAAACTCGGCAGGGAAAGCGCCTGGCCGGTAGGGAAATCCGCTGTGGGTACAGGAAGGGGAAATGGCAGCTTCCATCCGGATCGAGAGCCTTCTGGAAAGTCTTCATGCTTTCAGCCTACGTCACCTTTCAGCTACGGGAGTCAAAGGGCACAGATCCGGGCAGCCAGAGGGCTGGAGCAGGCCACCACCATTTCGGCTGTGAGAGATCTCCAACGCTGGCCTCTCTAGCAGGGTGGCCGGCACTCAGCGGATGTGTCACGAAGGTCGGATGACTAAGTGGCTCTTGCCGCTCTTCCATCCTCACGTCCTGCCAGTTTCACCACCTAAGTGGCTCCTGAATCAGTCACCTCCTCACCACATTGTCATACTGGCCTTGCTCAGCTTAAAGGTCCCACCTCCTCCAGCCTGGACTCCTGGGAAATGCACCGCCTGGGTGACAACTGCAGGCGCTCCCCTGTCATTTCTCTTCTGCCCAGTGGGGGACGCTCCAGCGAAAACACAGCCCTAGCCGGACCCTCTCTCAAGGCTCCCATGGCCCCCCAGGATCACACCAAGTCCCTGCCCTCTGTCCGCCTCTCCAGCTGCATCCCCGCTAACCCGCTGCCCTGCCTGGGCTCCTCCAGCCCCGTGGCTTGCTGCTCCTGCCAAACTGCCGGCCGCCACCTCCCTCCAGGACTCGCTTCCGTCTGCCCAGGCAGCCCTGCCCACCCCTCTTCTAGAGACTCAGTTCAGGTGCCACCTCCTCCAGGAAGCCCTCCTCATCCCCACGCCCTGGCCAGCTGAACGCCCTGTGCTCTCTGCACATCAGCGTCCCCCACCTGACCCTGGGGCTCCTGGAAGGCTGAGAGCAAATCACGCCCACAGATGAGGCTGGCGTGGCTCTCCCTGCTGGGGACCCGGCCCCCATGGGCGAGGCAAGAGCGATGAGCGCGTGAGAGATCCTGGCATTTCCTTCCTCCGTCTGCTCGGGGCTCTGCCTTTTTCTGCTCTGGGTTCCCCTCCCTGCCTGCCAGGAAGAGCTCTGCTTTGGCTTGTGGGCTTATGTGACGCAGCATCAGGAGGAGATGGGCATGAGGCCGGCTGTGGTCCATGTGCTTCCTTTGCAGTATCTGAGAAATGCAAGGCAGAACGTGATTTGTTTTGCCACTGCGTCTCAGGTCCTGGACCGATCGTGAATCCACCAAGACTGGACCCTGCGGGCATCGGTTTTATAAGCATTTATACAGTGGGGTTCTTTTTTTGAGACAGAGTGTCACTCCATTGCCCTGGCTAGAGTGCAGTGGCATTATCATAGCTCACCACAACCTCCAATTACTGGGCTCAAGTGACCCTCCTGCCTCAGCCTCCCCAGTAGCTGGGACTACAGACGTGCGCCATGACCCCAAGCTAATTTTTCTATTTTTAGTAGAGATGGGGTCTTATTCTTGCTCAGGCTGGTCTTGAACTCCTGAGCTCAAGTGATCCTCCTGCCTTGGCCTCCCAGAGTGCTAGGATTATGAGCGTGAGCCACCACCTTTGGCCATCATTTTGACTCACTCACTCACTAAATACCAACCCAGTGGGCAGGAGGCAGAGATTCTTGTTAGGTGCCTGGAGCACGTGGCTGCCTTGTCTCCCCTGGGGCAGCTGCAAAGGAATTGGGGACTGTGGCTAATCCTCCCTGGGAGAGGGGCGTGTCCAGGAGCCAGGCTGCAGAAATGCTAAGCAGTGGGACAGCCCCGTGGTGAGCACAGTGACTGACCTTACGCTGGTTTCCTCACCCCTCTGGCAGAGATGCTAACAATCTATTCATGCTTTCTGTCTTGGAATGTTCCATCTTCCCCATGGCTGACATGCAAGATCTACGTAATCTGGGGTTAGGCGTAGGCTTGGGGACCTGGGGTGTCCAGGAATACCTGGGTCCTTTGGTGCTAACGGGCAGATGCCAAAGGGCTGGGGAGGATCCGACGAGATGGGATGTCCCGGGACTCGGGTTATGGCGGCAAGGTCATCACCCCATTTCCCCACCACCTTCCCTGTTTTGTCATCTGTCATACATGGTCACAGAGCTGGGCTGAGAGCAGGCTAAAATTGCAAGACGACTGTGCCATGCTTTGCTGGGAGAACAATGTTTGTTGTGAGTTACGGGTCTTGCCCCCAAATGGCAACCCCGGCAGTGGATTTAGGACACCAGGCTGCCTAGTCCTCACGTGGTTGCCGGGTTGCACAAGGGTTAAAAAGCAAAAAGGCAGAACACCTCCCCAAGTCACAGGCAGTTGACTTGTTCTTTCTCTCCTTTTATAAACCGCCCAAAGGGCCACGGCCACGGAAGAGGGGAGAAACAGCCTCAGATGACAATCGATCTTACACAGGTGTCGCAGAGCAGAGACTCACCGCCAACTCATTTCTCCTGGGCGCGCCCTGCCCCTGCCGGAGCGCGCATGCGCACTGCGTCTGGGCTCGCGAGCCGGGCCAGGCCTCGGCTTAAGGGGTCTTCGCGGTGCAGCCCCAAATCCCATCTCTAATCCTCTCTGATGAACCCCACTCGAAAGAAACAAACCCAAGGACGTGGCAGCGTCCACGCCTGGCCTGGGCATTCACTGTCCGTGGGGAAGGGACGCACGGAGAGGCCACCGTGGAGCGGCCCCCGCCCGGCGCAAGGGCCGTGCACCCCGACGGTCACGGCTGCCCCCGGCCGCGGGGAAGAAGCCTTTCCCCCTGCCTGCCCCCAGACCTCACTGTGAAGCCGAAGCCTGGCTGATTTGCCATTCGATTGCCGTTGCCACCATTGCCACCACGCTCCCCGCGCGGCAGCTGTGACCGTCAGTCTCCCAGGTCTATTAACAGAGCTTTTAGACTCATAAATCTCTCGGCCCTGGCTCTTCCAGCCTCAGCAAAACACTCGGCGTGTCTGAA